TGAACTTGTTTCAAGTACACTGTATGTATCTATGAGGATCATGATGACAGCCCTTAGTACTATTAATATAGGCTAATGAAAATATTTCATTTTCTAATGAAGAGAAAGGTTATAGTTTTTTTATACATATTATATATATATTTAAATGCTATGAATAGATATAGGCTCTTGCATGACAACATTACAATTTACTGTTTTCAAAAGCACAAATACATACATACATACATAACCACAAAGAGATACACACCACACATATGTACACACTGCATGCACATACACGTGCACAGGCATGATCATATGTGTGCACATATGTGATCTACTGCCTCCATATACACAGCAAAATCAGCTTCTCCTTCTCCTCTCTTTAAAAAGAATCACCACGCCAGGCACCAGTGACTTATGCCTATAATTCTAGCTACTCAGGAGGCTGAGATCTGAGGATCACGGTTCAAAGCCAGCCCGGGTAGGAAAGACGGCGAGACTCTTATCTCCAATAAACCATTCAGAAAACCAGAAGTGGCCCTGTGACTTAAGTGGTAGAGCACTAGCCTTGAGTTGAAGAGCTGAGGGACAGTGCCCAAGCCCAGAGTTCAAGCCCCACAACAAAAATGAATAAATAAATAAATAAAAACATAGGTCCCATGGTCTCCCCTATTTGCAATATCTAGTATATGTCTGAGTCAAACAGAAAAGGTCAGATAAGGTGATGTTAGGGAAATGAACCCTAAGATATGTATTCAAATGTTTTTTTTTCTTTCATGTGATTGTTTTTAACGCATTTATAAGATTATTTCTTTGTTGCTTTGTATGTCCCTTCCCCACAGTATAACCCCTGCTTTCACTGTATTTGATGTCGGTATAATTTGTGGAGGGGAAGGGGAAAAACAAGTCGTTTAAATAGGGATACAGGTGGACCCATTGCAACAATGAGAAGTACAAGTCGTTATGTCGAAAACGAACTTTACAACTTTGGTGGGGGGGGGTGGGAAGATGGGGGCGGGCAGGATGGGAAGGGAAAACAAAGGAGGAGGCTACAATGCTTGATAAGAAATGTACTCATTATCTTGCCCATGTAATTGTAACCCCTCTGTACAGTATTTTCACAATAAAAAAAATAAAAATTAAAAATAAAGAAAGAAAGAAAGAAAAATTTCAAAAATAAAACAAAATTACCCAAGAAAGTAAAAATTTAGATCTGAAACATATTCAATTACATTATACAGTACAATTATCCAGAATATTTGAGTGCCAGATGCAAATTACAGAGACGTGCATAAGTTGAAGCAACTTTTCTAATTAAATCACCAAAATGTTAAAATAAAAAAACGACAAAACACTCATATGAACTGAAACAAACAAAAAGCAGAACTTCGGCAGCACCTTCAGCTTTCAAAATGTGTATTAAAATAAAAGCACCTCAAAGACCACCCAGAAATACCCCAAGAGACAGCACCTACTCAAAACCTGCTGGCCCTGAGCTCCTATGAGCAAGCCTTTTTGCCTGTTTTCTCATCATACCCTCCTGCCAACCTCTCTCCCCCCCATACCCACCCCAGGACTTCTTCACTAGGGACCAATCCTTCTCAGAAACAAAACCCATTGACTACCAAATTTGATCACAAAGTTCTGTGCTCTCATCTAACGTGGCTTAGTGGTAGAGTGCTTGCCTAACATGCATAAAGCCCTGGGTTCAATTCCTCAGTACCACACAAACAGAAAAAGCCAGAAGTGGCGCTGTGACTCTAGTGGTAGGGTGCTTTCTTTGAGCAAAAGAAGCTCAGGGATAATGCCCAGGCCCTGAGTTCAAGCCTCAGGACTGGCAAAAAAAAATCATTCAAACATTTCCTCTTGTTCTTAGGATAAAGTTGTTGTTTATTTGCTTATTGTTAAAAATCTTAAACTAGAACATATGCATCTGTGACCCCACCCATTCATAAAGATTCTAACTTGTAATACATAGTCAAAAACCCCACTATTTTTATAAGCTCATCACATATAACAAGAGTAATTTCTTAGTAATTGTGAAGGATCTGGTTGTTTCAGCGTTATCTACTACCTAAATTCCAAAAACTAAATTGCTACTAAGCCACAAATGACAGCTCTTCCCTAGCCACGTGTCAACCATAATAAAATACCTCAGTAACTGAGGAAAAATATCAAATTCAAGTCTACCAACAAAAGCAATTACACTTTAAACTCCTCTGGCTTCATACCAGGTGTCTTTTCCCATAAGCTTCTGCATATGTGTGTATGGGTATGTGTGTGAAATAAAGAGTGTGTATGTGGGCGTGTAATGAACAAATGATTCCCCCCTTTCTTTTACCTCCCCTTCTTTCCTTCTCTTATTACAGTTGATAACACTCCAAAAATGAACTCAATTGACCTATGGCATCTCTCCTTGTAATGAGCTTTGTCATTTTTAAAAATATGTCCATACCACGTTAGAGAATCCCAGCAACATTTCTATCAAGTATGTATTATCTTTGAGATGATATAAGATGATGAAAATTAAAGTGACTTGTTGGGCGTCACGGATCAACACAACCCCACAGGCTAGTACTCTGGTCTTCTCTGGCTCAATGACAGGTTTTGTGGTTATTTTTTAAAAAGGGAGGTAGAGCTGCGGATTTCACCCTGGCAAGCTTCTAAGGACACACCATTACTACATTTCAGGTCATCTTCAGGGGCAGGCTATGCCTTCTACCCAGCTCTGCTGTGTCTCTGGTCACTCACTGTGTGTCCTGCAAGACAGGGCCTTCATACATCCTCAGAAACATTAGAGACAAAGTTCATTCTGAACATTGCTTGAGTCATTGTGATGAAATGGCAAAGATAAAAGAAGAAATGGAAGAAAAAACATTTAAATACATATCTTAGGGCTCATTTTCCTAACTTCACCTTATCTGACCTTTTCTGCTTGACTCATACATATACTAGATATTGCAAATAAGGGAAACCATGCGGACCTATGTTTCTTTGGGCTTGACTTACTTCACTTAATATAATCTTTTCCAAGTCTTTCCATTTCCTAACAAAGGGGGCAATGTCATTCTTTCTGATGGAGGCATAGAATTCCATTGTGTATATATACCACATTTTCTTGATCCACTCATCCTACTGAAGGGCATCTAGGTTGGTTTCATATCTTAGCTATGGTAAATAATGCTGCAATAAACATAGTTGTGCTGGTAGCTTTAATGTGGTCTTGTTTGTAAACATTTGGGTAAATGCCCAAAAGTGGGATTGCTGGGTCATAGGGGAGCTCTATGTGGAGTCTTTTGAGGAACCTCCATACTACTTTCCAAAATGGTTGAACAAGTTTACACTCCCACCAACAATGAAGTAAGGTTCCCTTCTGTCCACATCCCCTCTAGCATCTGTTGTTATTAAGTTCTTGAGTTTTGCCATTCTATTAAATGTTTTTTTCTAACGTATTTATAAGATTATTTCTTTGTTGCTTTGTATGTCCTTCCCTCACAGTATAACCCCTGCTTTCACTGTATTTGATGTCGTTATAATTTGTGGAGGGGAAGGGGAAAAAAAAGTCATTTAAGTAAGGATACAGGTGGACCCGTTGCAGCAATGAGAAGTACAAGTTGTCATGTCGAAAAGGAACTTTACAACTTTGGTGGTGGAGGGGGGAGGATTAGGTGAGGGGGCCGGGGAGGATGGGAAAGGATGTGAAGGGTAAACAAAGAAGGAGGCTACAATGCTTGATAAGAAATGTACTCATTATCTTGCCCATGTAATTGTAACCACTCTGTACAGTATGTTCACAATAAAAAAAGAAATGTACTCATTATCTTGCCCACCTAATTGTAACCCCTCTGTACAGTATTTTCACAATAAAAAAATAAATAAAAATTTTTAAAAAGATACAAAAACATAAATAAATACTGGCATGCCAAACAGAAGGCACAATATTTACAGAGGAAAAATATTTACAAATTATGTGCGTGGTATGGTTGTAACCAGAACACTCACACTACTTAGGATTCACAGTAAGAAACCAAATCACTAGCAAATATTTGGCAAAGAATTGAAAATTGAAAAAAAAAAAAAGAAGAAGAAGAAAGGGGAGGATCCTGTATGGAAGAAGTGATAGATGAAAGTAATTATCAACCAGTGACTACACTAATAAAACCAATAGCTACAATAGCTGTATTGCACTCCATAATAAATTGTTCTTATTTTAAAAGCCAAAGGGAAAAAATACTTTTTCTATTTCAAGGTGCTCTTTGTCTTTCAAGGTACGTGTGTGTGTGTGTGTATATGTGTGTTTGTGTGTGTGTGTGTGTGTGTGTGTGTGTGCTGGTACAGTGGTTTGAATTCAGGGCCTCGTATTCATGTTTGCTTGTTTGCCTAACTGGAGCTCTACCACTTGAGCCATACCACCGTATGGCTTTTTGCTAGTTAATTATAGAGTCTCTTAGGCTTTTCTACCTAGGTTAACTTCAAAATATGATCCTCTAAATCTACCTCTTGAGTAGCTAGGATTCCAGGTATGATCCTCTGGCTTTCAAAGAGTCAGATTTTTTTCCACAAAAAATAAGCATGTTTAGATGTTTTGACGTATTCATCTATAATGAAATTATTATAATAGTCAAACTAATGTATTCCTCCTTTCAAGGTTACCTTGTGTGTGTGTGAGATGCTTGAATCATTCTTTCAGCACAAAATTCCAAAACATTGTCTTGGAAGACAATGTAGTCTTCATGTTGTGCAGTACATATTTACCGTAAATTCCCCTTATCTATAAAATTTCAAAAAGATAAACCAAAGTCTGAGTACTTCCGAGATTTACTGAGATGTGGCATGCTCTCAAATTCCCATCCTACAGCTACTGTCTTCTTCCTAAAAGGGCTGTCAGCCCTGAGGTGGTTGGTAGTTCCTTCTTCCTGGAACTCTTCATTGATTTTTCACATCCTTACCCTCTACTTCCTGGATCTGTTACCATGCAACCATGACATCACAGAGCCAGCCTGCAGTTCTTTCTCCCAATGCCTGGAAGGAAGCCACAACTCGGAAATGGGGAACAATTTGGGAAAATATTTTGCTCCACTGAGATTCAAGCAGCATTCATTCTCTCCTCCTTTGTGACCTTCTTCAGTGGACTTGCCATCTTGTATATTTTCAGACTCCTATGGAAATTCATAAAAAAACATCACAAAAGAAAAGAAAAAGATATCTTGGTCAGTTTCCTTATTTGGAGGTCCCTCCATACCATGATCAGAAATAGGTTTGCTATGTGTATGTGTTTAACAATCAATTTAGGAGTTAGCTGTTTTTTTCAGGCTAACAGAGCCAGCTCTGGGCTGGTGCCTCAGGGTAGGGAACAGGACCCTGGGCTACCAGGCTGAAGCTCCTAGCGCGAAGCAATCTCTTCTCTGGTCAATGTCAGATCTATTATAAACAGAAATGTCCATGAGCAATGACCAGACCTCAATTTTGAAGCCTAAGAAGATAATTGTGCTGGGTACTGCAAGGAAGGAGAACAGGAACAGGACAACGGTGGCAACATCATATTGGTAAACGTTTTGTATATGGTGCATCCGTGCCTACTGGTCCATACTACATTTGTGCACTATGTGAACATATCAGACCTCCATTAGCCACACAGACATTCTTTATACTTAATCCACATTTGCAAGGGTTGGTGTCATAGCATAATAGCTATCAAATGATGATAACCAGAAGAAAGGGGGTCTTACTAGCTCAAGCATTGCTGGAATGTGACATAAATATATAAAAATTACTCTTCTGCTACCAGAGGTCAAAAGCAACGTTTTATTATAGCTTGTGTAGCTGGTTTCCTTGCTGATTTCCTAAACTTTGTTTCTTCCCTGAATCAATTATAGCAGTTTCCATAACAAAGCACATTTTACCTGCACATCATAATAAGGAAAATTTGCTTGAAATATTTCTGACATCACTGTGACATAAAATCAAGCAATGTATACTAACTTAAATTATTTTAAGGTTTATATTTTACATTTGGGTATTTAATTTTCCAATACTGAAGCTCATAGCATATTGAGAAGAGAGTTCACGCTACGGATAATTATTTCTACTTTAAAGATTTTTATACAGAGGTATAAAAACTGAATGGGGAGGGGGTAAAATTCTGACTTATGGACTAATGAATTCATGAATGTGCCCCCAAAATAACTATCCACCTTTTGATGTTGCATAATATCCAACATAATTTGAAGAAAAGAAAAAAATTATGGTTCATTTGTCTTCTGCACTAAGAACTACAGCTTTTCCTTGTATCCATTTTTTTGTGTGAGCAAAGAAATAAAAGGGTACTTTTGCCAACTTACATTTACTTTATTTTCCATGCCTTACTTTTGAATATAAGTGTTCTGTCAACTTCAGTATAAATATGCCTTTTACTTTCAGATATTTAGAAAATTTTACAAAATGTTAAGGATTGGGATTTCAGCAACTAGAGTAGTACGGTGATCTGCTTTTGAATCTTGAGGAGAGGGTTTGAAAAGCCTTGACAAACTTCTAAATGATAGCTTTATATTCAGTTAAATTGATACTACTTTTTTTCTATGTCTTTATGCCTTTGGAAAATTTGGCCAAACGAAAAATAGTCACAAATAAATGTTTGGTGGAGTCTTTTAAAAATTATTTAGAGAACTACATATTTTAAAGGACTTATACATCCATAAGTAAGATCTTGTTATTTCCTAGAGTCAAATAAGTATTCTACTCTAACATCACATTAAATGATTTTAAATCTACTATCAGATATGCACACGCTATTTTTATGTGTTACAGGGAAAAATCATTGAACAGGATGTGAACTGTATTAAAGGATACTTTAAAATTGTTGTTACTATTATATTTTAATGATACTAGGGCTTGAACTTAGGGCTTCCCACTTGCTAGGCAGGCACTCTACTGTTTGAGGCACAACCCAGTCCTTTTTGGCTTTAGTTAATTCTTGTTTCTTATTGGATAGTTGGAAGTGGAGTCACATGGACTTTCATGCCAAGACTGGCTTTGAACCAAGGTCCCCATAGCTCAATCTCCTGGTAATATAGGATTACAGATGTGAGCCACAGGTTCCCAGTTTGAAATAATTTTTATATATAAAAGAGAAAGGAAGTTGTGGTAAAGTTGTCTATTGCTTTTGCTTTTGCCTGGTATCCTTTTCTTCGGCATATACAATTGTCTTCATGCTTTAAAATGCCTGAATGTATGATATTTCTGTGCCTTTCATTCTTGTTTGGAGCTGGCCTTAGACCATAATCCCTTTACACATTCCTCTCACTTGGCTGGAATCACAGATTTATAATACCATACTCAGCTTTTTGTTTGGTGAGATGAGTTCTCTTAAGTTTTTTCTTGGGTTAGCTTCATGATCCTCTTGATTTCTGCATCCTGAGTAGTTGGCATTGCATCTGAGCTACCTTGCCCTACTTACCCAAGAGGCAAAAAGTATTATAAATAGATTCCCTTTCTTATCCCTGCCATTTAGATAATATGCTTACAAAAATAACTCATTTCAAACCTCTAACTCCATTTTAAAAGATGTTTAAATGTTAAAATTTCATAAATATCTTTCTTTCTGATTATCTATAAACATGGACGCTAGATCAGACTCTGTCCATCACTATTGCTTGATCTTGGAACTGTCATTCACTCTCTATCTTGTTTCCTTGCTTTAACGTAACCTAATTTAGCAGGTAGATTTCTGTAAATCTCAAATATCATATATGTAGGAATTAAAAAAAAGGATACCAGGTAAAAGCAAAAGCAATTTCCTTCCTCTTTCATATATATAAAAAAATATTTCAAACTGGGAACCTGTGGCTCACATCTGTAATCCTATATTACCAGGAGATTGAGCTATAAGGAACTTAGTTCAAAGCCAATCTTGGCATGAAAGTCCATGTGACTCCACTTCCAACTATCCAACAAGAAGCTAGACTTGAAGCATGGTCTAACTGGTAGAGTGCCAGCCGTGAGCAAGAAATCCAGGCAAGAGAGCACTGCGTTTAAGCACCAGTACTAGGGGGGGAAAACCTCAAAATTTTAGTAATCACTTAACCATCAGGTTGGCATGCATGTCTTTTCTGTTGTCTTTGGTTTTTATTTTTAAAAATAAATGTGGAAAGAGATCCTCAGAGCAGAAAAAAAAAGCATGCTGCTCCCCAATCCTGGCTATTGCAAGGGTGTGAGTTTTAAGGGACTGGAATAAGAGGTATAGATAAAGCTCACAAATTTCAGAAGACAAAATGCAAAGCCAGTAAAATGCATTGTGTGAGATGTTGGATAATCACCTGTGGGAGTCCCTGGTTTGGGCAGCACAGAATGACTTTTCCCTTGTTCCAGGGTAAGAGCCTCCATGGACATTGATCCTGCAGATTGTTTCCTTCGATGAATAGCTCACTCTGTCAATCCTTTTTCTTGCTTACAGAATCTAATCTCATCACGTGCTAGTTTTTTAAGAAGGCTTTACATTAATGGAGCATTTCGAGATCGAATAGAAATGTTGCTCTCAGCACAGACCTTTGTGGGGCAAGTGTTTGTAAGTACGCTTTTACCTATTCATTTGCTAATGGATTTTAGCCATAAGCATGATCACAGTCAGTATGTGCAATTTTATCACAGAGGCCGACAGCGGGTCTACCCAGTGGTCTTCCTTACTTCTCATCTGGAGTAGACAGAATTCCTGGACATTGGACTACAAGGAAAGCTTTCTTGGCAAAAAGATTGTATTCATTTTGTCATTTTTATATGTGGATTTTTGACTGGTATATAAATACTCAAAAAGTGACAGTCCGTGAATTAATCTGTCCTGGCATTTAGGGCTCTTCTCACTTCCTTAATTCCAATAGCCCTGGTTCTCATTTCTTCCTTAAACATGCTTAAGCTTTTTTGCCTTCTTGTGCTATTTACTATTGTGCTTTTTAACGTAATCTCAGCTACTAGAACATACTGTCACTTATTTCAGGTACCAAATCCCCAGGAAATCTTTCCTTTCCTCCATATTAGGCTCCAAACACTTCCTCTGATAGCTATACTACCTGCAGAACACTGTTACTAAAATTGTCAGTGTACGCTCACGCCTGTCCCCTCCAGAGAGCAGATGGTTATAAGAAATGTTATTTTTCCTTGTTTGGAATTAGTGGATGCCTGGTGAATACTGTGCTGGTCCTCATTTCACTGGTTGGAAAACAATGACAACAAAGAAATGGAATCTGTTATCTGGGGTGTGCTGCCATCAGGTGGTGAGAAGGTGAAAGTAATTTCGCTTGAGCTTAAAAATTATTGCTGAGTGGTTTTTTTGTTTTTTTTTTAAATTTTATTTTATTTGTGAACATACTGTACAGAGGAGTTACAATTACATGGGCAGGATAATGCGTACATTTCTTTTGCTGAGTGGTTTTACAGAGATTAAAATTCAACATGTCAGTTTATGCGAACAGGCTATCTTGATCAGTGTCATCCCTCCATCACCATCATTCTGACCATATATCCCAACCCCACCTACTTGGTTCCATTTTCACATATGTACATTGAGAATTATGACTGTATTCATCCACCATTGCTCTCTCCATTCATCTGTCCCTACTCCCCTTAAATCCAGCCCACTCTGGCAAGTATTTCAGCTTCTACATAGTCATTTTGTTCAACAGCCAGTTTAACAATACTGATAGTTAATTCTCTGTCGGTTACACATTCAAAGGAATTACAGCACTGGACTCCTCCAGGTATACCATATTGTAGTCAGTTTGTGTATAGGCATATGGCCTTATCAATGTTTTCATATGTTTATATTTTAGATCTAATTTCCAAATATGGCAGAAAACATACGCCCTTTGTTTCTCTGAGCCTGACTTACTACTTCATTTAACATAATTTTCCAGGTCCATCCATTTCCCTGCAAATAAAATATCATTCTTCCTGCCTATTGTAGGGCACCTGGGCTATTTCTGTAACTTGGATATGATGAATAATAAAGCAGTGAACATGGGTATACAAGTGTTTTTTTTATTGTATACTGACTTGTAATCTTTGGGATAAATGCCCAGTAGTGTTATTGCTGGATCATAGAGTAGTTCTTTTTTTAATATTCTTATTGTAAAGATACTGTATAGAGGGGCTACAGTTACATGAGTAAGGTAATGACTACATTTCCTTTTGAGCATTGTTACCCCTCCTTTGTTTTTCCACTACTATGGTTAGTTTTTGAAGAATCTCCAAACCATTTTCCACAGTGTTTATACTAATATACATTCCCTCCAATATTGCATTAGGCTTCCTTTTCCCCTGCATCCTCATCAGTATTTGTTGTTCTAATTCTTGATGATGGCCATTAACTTGAAAGAGACTGGATTTGTTTGGATTTACATTTTCTTTATGTCCTTGGATGTTGAACATGTTTTAATGTTGCTCTTTATTGTGCCTAAAACCTGGTTCTTGGCTGACAGTTACTCACATCCTTAATATTAACTACTCAGCAGGTTGAGGTCTGAATGATTGAGTTTCAGAGACAGTTTGAATAGAAGTCATTGAGACTTCATCCCAAGACTCTGTCTCATTTAACCAGCAAAACGTGGGAACTAGCTGAACAAGCAATCTAAGCAATTGTGTGACACTAAATACTAGGGGAGAAAATAACAGAAAAAGAAAAAAAAGGTCACCTTCCTAGTTAACACTATTTAATCTAGGTATAATCCATTGTGATAATATAAGTAATTTTGCTTTTTTTTTAATTGTGAAAATACTGTACAGAGGAGTTACAATTATATGGGCAAGATAATGAGTACATTTCTTATCAAGCATTGTAGCCTCCTCCTTTGTTTCCACTTCCCATCCCTTCCCAGCATCCCCCGGTGCCCCCACCCAATCCCACCCCCACCAAAGTTGTAAAGTTTGTTTTCGACATAATGACTTGTACATCTCATTGTTGGGTCCACCTATATCCCTATTAGAACAATTTGTTTTGTCCCTTCCCCTCCACAAATTATACCAACATCAAATACAATGAAAGCAGTAAATTTTGCTTTCAAAAAAAATCTGTAGATGATGTTTCGTGCTTTGGAATGCACATCTCCTTTCTGTTTTGTAAAGCGTGGGTCTTTTCCATAAATCCCTGGGAGTGTGACCTGTTGCTGCTGATGTTGTAATTCTCTGGTTACATCAAAGATATCTTATTTAAGATCCCTTCAAATGCTTAAATATCTTTGATTCTGTGTGAGGATTATATTGGGGAAAACACATGAAAGGACCTTAGGGTGTGAGAAAGGAACTTATAACATCCACCTGAGGAGCATTGCCTATAGAGCATGTGTAGGAAAAATTAACATTCATTATGTTCCAGTAAGATAACTTCAAGGGGCTGGGAGCTGATGGCTCATGCCTGTAATCTTACCCAGGAAGCTGAGTAGGAACGTCCGTGAGACTCATATCTCCAATTAAGAACCAATAAAGCTGGAAGTGGAGCTGTGGCTCAAGTGGTAGAGCATTAGCCTTAAGCAAAAGAAGCTCAGAGATAACGCGCAGGCCCTAAGCTCAAGCCCCCAGAATGGCACAGAAAAATGATAAGAACAATATTTTAATGACAGAAAAAATATTAATTCTACCTTTATCAGATAATGAGCCATTCGTTGAAACCCCAGAAAGCCTAGAATAAATGTTAAAGTAGAATAAATGAACTGCTATTGAAGGCCTTAAATGAGACCCTTAGAGATCCCAATCATGTGTTTATGAAAAAGTTAGAAGAAAATAAAATGACTTACAGACTTCCTTTCTTCCTTGAACTTATACCCAGCAGAACTGACTAAAAGGAACTAGCTAGAAGGAAGTGGCTAACAGCTTTCACTTGTGCAGGAATTTCTTTACTTCTTTTAATACTATATCACAAACTAGACATCTTGAAATATTTATCAAATGTCTGTCACTTATAGAACTTAAATTCTGGTGGTGGTAGACGTGACTATATATGCCCAAATAAAATAACATGGTGACCAAGGCTTTGTGTGTATTTTGTATTTGTAAATTCTGGTAGTTAAGGAGGGAGTTCACAATTCACTGTGGTATTCAGAGAAGAAACTGGAAAGGCAAGATTTGAACTGAGACATGAAGAACCAGAAGGATAAAGTGAATGAAGAGTAGAGGGAATAGACGTGTGGAAATGAAGAGCTGACATTAGAACAGATACCCAAAGACGTTTCATGTCCCAGAGACCATGCAGAGTTGTGAAGGGTGAGGTCTGAGAAGCGACCAGCAAACAACCAGAGGCCATGTGCTTTGTGGGACGTTGCTAAATTACTCAAATGGAATCACTTTGCTCTAATGCAAAGATAATCCACGGGCCAGGGTCTTAAAGCCTAAATTAACAGAATATGATTAGATTAATTGTAGGGGCACCTCTAAAATCTGGGAACAAAGGAATTATTGAGCATGTGTCAAACATCAGAAAATGAACATTGATAGCACACTTTTAATAACATAACTGTGAAGCCAGAAAACACTCACTAATTTCTTAGGACTTCCTTAAGAAAGTGCCTGAAGCAAAGCAGTTTGAACTATAGGACTGTATTGTTGGCCAGTTCTACTGACTACAAGTCTACTGCCAGAGTTGGCTGCTTGAGATGTGTGAGGGAAAGAAGCCAATGCCTGTCCCTAGCAGTTGTTAGTGTGTTGGAAATCTACAGTGTTCTCTAGCTTAAAGATTGTGAAACATCATCTCTGCTTTTTTTATTGTGAGAATACCATACAGAGGAGTTACAATTACATGGGCAAGATAATGAGTACATTTTTTTATCAAGCATTGTTGCCTCCTCTTTGTTTCCCCTTCCTATCCCTTCCCATACTCCCCTTCCCCACCAAAGTTGTAAAGTTCGTGTTTTGACCTAATGATTTGTACATCTCATTGTTGAAATGGGTCCACCTGTATCCCTAGTTAAATGATTTGTTTTTTTCCCTTCCCCTCCACAAATTAAACCAACATCAAATACAGTGAAAGCAGGGGTTATATCGTAAGGGAGGGACATACAAAGCAACATAGAAATCATCTTGTAAATATGTTAGAAACAATTGCATGAAAGGAAAAAAAAACATTTGAATATTTATCTTGGCGTTCATTCCCCTAACATCAACTTATCTGACCTTTTCTGCTTGACTCAGACATATACTAGTTATTACAAATAAGGGAGACCATGGGATCTATGTTTCTTTGGGCCTGGCTTACTTCACTTAATATAATTTTTTCCAAGTCTTTCCATTTCCTAACAAATAGAGCTGTGTCATTCTTTCTGATGGAGGCATAGAATTCCATTCTGTATATATACCACATTTTCTTTATCCATTCATCTACTGAGGGGCATCTGGGTTGGTTCCATATCTTAGCTATGGTAAATAATGCTGCAATAAACATAGTTGTGCTGATAGCTTTAGTATGGCCTTATTTGTGATCATTTAGGTAAATGCCCAAAAGTGGGATTGCTGGGTCACAGGGGAGCTCTATGTGGAGTCAAAGAAGGGTTGGACAAACGGGATTGCATGAAATTGCAGAGCTTC